GGGCCCGCGTCCCCCGCCTCCACCGGCACGCGCTCAGCTCGCGTCCCGCTCGCGCGCTCGTAAGTGCCGGGCTTCAAGAGAGGCTTTTTATCTTGCCCTCGTAGTGGGGGTGGAGTTGAAGTAACGAGTCTGGACTTCCGTAGGGAGCCCTTCAGCGTCTCAGGCTGGGTAAAGCACAAAGGTGCTGTCAACCGAGCTCACGTCTACGTGCAGACTTAAACTAACAGCACGTCACATGCAATCAGAGCCGGTGACTCGAATGTGCAAATACCAGGAGCAGCCAGACTTCAGGGAGTCGGAGGAACTCGTCTTACATGAATATTCAGCTGAAGACAGAGAAAAAGCTCTACAAACAAGAGGGCTAGATGTGAAGGTGAACTGAAAATCTTTACAGCCCAAAGCACAAATGAGCCCACTCGTACCTAAAACAGGGCAGAAAGCTAGGTAAACCACCGCAGAAATAAATTCAACGCACAGCTCCGGGGCTCCTCAAGGTCACCTGCAGTTACAGAAGGACTCCAGAACCTTGTACTCGAGACTGGCAGGTAGGCAGAGGACAAAATGGAGTTCAGCCCTTCTGTGCTAGAGAATAATCTGTCAGCCCACATATTCCTTTGTTCCTCAGCCAGCGTTTAAAGCAGCTTGCCCTACTTTTTCTTTCTTTCTTTCTTCCCCCCCACCCCCACCCTAAACTGGCAACAGAGAACAAACACCCAGCGTTACATAAATCATTTCAGCTAGCTGGAAAAAAGCAAGCGACCGAGAGGATACATCTACCGGTTAGCTCCTTGTTTCCTTTGAACCATCTGATGGTGGTGGCTGGTCTGCTGGCCATGGCAGTGCAGTTCAGCTCAATCTCTTCTCCCTCAACGGCAATTTCTTTCTGTATATCGATCACCAAATTGCGTGGCGGGACTACGACGAGAAGAAAAAAAAAAAAAGAAGATGACACATACTTGATGAAAAAAAAAAAACCAAAACAGTTTGGGGTCACTGGCACAAGATAAAACCTTCAGGAAACCCCGCAAAATCTACTAGAGGAAACTAGCCACCAGCACGTATTTGATCTTTCCATCGATCAAAACCTTTGATAGGCGGTTTCACGGAAATCGGAGTAAGCACTTTCACTCTCCACCTAATAACCGTTGTCATGTCCCAAATTATTACTTATCGCACCTGCAACTTTCGGTTCTCCCTCCCTGGCAGGCACCGTTCCAGGGAAGAGCTTTAGTGTTCATCGCCACTGGGTCGTGTGTGTCGCTATTTAAAAACACAGCCTGACTCGGCGCACGTTCCGGGGCTTCTTCCGACACGGGGAGGAAACGCAAGAGCTGAGGTTCGGGAGCGCGTTCCTTACCGCGCCTCGAACCTCGCCGGGCGATTTTTCTCTCCCTTTGAGCCTCAGCCGGAAGGAGCGGTGAGCTCGTGTAAGACGCTCGGAAAGCCCGAGGTGGCAAGCCATCGCCTTTGGGACAGCCCCGCGTCCCCCATCAAACCACCACAAAGCAAACACAAAACCGCTCTCGCGCCTTCCGGCAAGTCCTATAGGCTGGCCGTTTGCCCTCTGCCCCAGACGCTTCCTTACAAAACACAAAGCTAGAAGACGACGCTCGGTGAAAAAAAGTCCAGTAACGTTCAGAAACAGGCTGGAGCTTCAGGGGGATAACCGCCGCCGGAGCACAACCCAGCGGTGTGAGGAACAGGCTTAAAAATTACGACCCAGAAGCGAGGCGTCTCTTCCCCGCGACAGCGCTGGTAGCCAGCGAGGCAAAAAAACAGGGAAAAAAAATGAACATCAAGAGTTTGCGCCGCACAGAGCTGCCGCTTCAGAAAAAGGCCAGGCCTTCCAAAGGAAACTCAACTTTGCTCTGATCAATATGATTAAGCAACTGCGTAGTTCAAATGCGACTAACACGCTTCTGAGCTAACGAAGAACAAATATGTATAAATACCATGCAGATGATCAAACGGACTAATTAGTCACTTGTGGCTTTTCTCTAAAAAGAACAGAACGGGCTACATATTTGAGATTTTCACATGTTCCAATTAGGAATGAATAAATCTACACACCGCGTCACAAAGTACAGGGGAGAGCGGGAAGAAGAAAGCGCGAAGCTCTCGCTGAATCCCGACTGCAAAGAAGGATGCCGCCAAACCTTCCTCCGCTCTCCGACGCAAGGATCGTTAGGAGCAGATCAGCTGAACTACCCTTCGGTAGAACTGAAGACAGAGCGAAGTCTATCTGGTCTGGCTTGCCTGTGCTCGTCTCTGTGGTCTCGCCTGGCCCAGGAACGCCTTGAAGGCGAGGAGAAAACACCCGCTGCTTTAGGGATGTCGGGGAAGGGCAGGCACACGCCGGCCGTGCTGCGAATCCTTCTCCGAAAGGACTGACGTACGAGGCCAGAAAACAGACTTTCCCCTGAATTCCGAAGCACGCTTCATGTTAAAAAAACCCCAAAACCACAAAGCCCCCGGCATTTCGTCGGCCACTTGAAAGACAGGCAGTGCCAGCTTACAGGCGGATAAAGTAAGGGCTGTGATTTCAAACGCTGCCTTAGCATCGTTAGCAGCGAAGTAAAATCCAACCAACTATTTTTGCGTCCGTAGGATTAAAGAGAAGAGTTGGAAGAGAGCTTCCTCTTCCTGCAAACGCCGGAACGCGCGCTAAAACTTTGAAGATGTCGATAAGCGTAATAGCTATAGTGGAACTGCTTATAAACGTTGCTTAAACAATGTATAAAAACCTAAGAACCCAATCTCATTAAATAAAAGAAGGCAGATTTAAACTAATCAGCCGGTGAGATCTTACACTAAGTCACCCTCCGTGACTCAGGTTCTCCTATTAATAGAGTCTTAAAAGCCGCTGCTGATCCGTAGAAACAGCTCTAATAGCAGGAGCTGCTATTACCGGTAACCGCATCGGTCTTGCAGCGGTCCTGCAAAGCCCGAGGGAGCGAAGGGAAGGCAAGAGCCTGGCCGGGCTGCGCCTGAGCGTATTTCAGGGGACGGGGGACGGACCAGAATTAACTTCAGCTCTGCAAACAGCCATGCCTAAGCAAATGAGCAAACCGACGGCGTCAAAGGGGAGACCTGACCTCCTTTCACGCGCGAAACAAGTTTTCAGTGAAGTGAATCGGAAGCTGTCACGTGCTGCTCGTGGAACTCGAGATCTCCCCGAACAGCTAAGCCAACTGACTAACGCGCAAAAACTCAGCGGGAGGTTCACCGGCGACGCTGTTAGCAGCGCTCACCCTTAAGGGGTATCAGCGACGGGCAAAGATGCTGCCCTTTGTCGTTAAAATGTAATCTCTCGAATCCCCAAGTTTTGGCAGAGAAGATGCAGCGTGCGATCAGAGCAGTCTGATTACCGAAAACACGAAATTCATAAACTGAACGGTTCTCCCATGCTACAAAGCGTTCACGCTAATTTATTTTCCCTCTGCATATCAGATAATTATTGAAAGACATTTCCTGCAGCTTCTACTTTCTGGCTGGCTTCCTTCTCGCATCACCGAACGAGACGCAGCCACCACAACTTATCTTCCCAGGAAACGCGCCTCCTCTCGCCCTGAAGAGAACGGATACGAGCCCCGCCCCGCCGACCCCGTGCGTCCAGGGATGACGAAGTTCCCCGCAAGCACCTAGCGGGTCCTTACCGAGCACTGTAATCGTGGTATAGATTTCCTGGGGGGGATCAGTGTAGAGCTGGCAGAAGTACCTCCCTTCATCAGAGATGGAGACGTTTGTCAGGGAGACTCGGAGCTCGCTGTTGGAGAAGTTCACCAGCTGGAACCGGCTGTCCTTCAGCGCTGCGGAGCAAGCACACCCTTAGCGACCGCCACGGGAGACACGGCGTCTGCCTCGCCACGCCACGAAGCCAAAGGTCTATGAAAACGGCGGTAGCACCTAGGCAAGCGCCCCACGGGTTCCCGACTGCAGCCGCCATCCGGCTTCTTACCTGGAAGTCTGGACCTGCAACACGTTTCTCAGATCATTACGAAGAATTGACGTAAGCAAATCACCGGGCACGGCATCGAGTCTTTGGACACGGTTTTATTAGCCGGTGGCTTAGGGACGTGTAGGTGAAGTGCTTATTGTGAAAATACGCGTCTACACGGACTCGTTTCTGACTGCACGTGGTCAGTGGACTGGCACTGTCACGACAGGAAACAACGCCAGGCTCACTCCCCGGGCATGGCGGCAACGGGGGATTTTGTTTTGGTTATAAAGAAGCATAGATCGTCTCGAAACGTTCAGTCTTCGAACGAAGCACATTACCTCCGAGAACGCTGCGCTGTCTCGGCGTTGCCCTGTTCAATTTGTTTGCGTCAGCTAAATATTTGGCACTCAATTGCAATTCACCCTGAATTACTACAATCAATCCCTGTTGCAAAGTAAGACGCTCTGACTTTTAAAGGGGACCATCAAGGTTTCCATTAAGGAAAAAGATTACGATTGCCTGTCTCATCTACCCTCTAAAGAATTGACTAAGCTTTAAGCGTCTAGCATTACATTAAAAGAAGAGATCTCCGCAAATGCTTCCTCCCGAGCGCAAGCGAGGCGCGGGAGAAGTTGTTCTCAAACGAGGGAAGAGAAAACTTACGTCTGAAATCTCTGAAATAAATCGTTTGCCTGTTGGGATTCAGAAGCTGAATCACCGAGTCGTCGCTGTTCTTGACTCGGCAGCTGATGGTGGCGACGTCTCCCTCCACCACCGTCACGTCCTCGGTGACCAAATTCTGACCATCACCTGAAAGAGAGCGCAAAGATGAAACAGCAAGATGGGAAACGGCGTCAGCGGGCTTCGCTTGGAAACGAAACGCGCCGCCGCGCGCTCGGTGCTCCTGCCGAATCTACCCAGCGGCACGAGCCACGGGGCCACTCCGCCCCGACGATCTTGGGTTTCTTCTTGACCAGCTTACCGGAGGAAGAGCTTTTATCTTCCGCAGGGGAGCTCTGGGCGGGCGACGGAGGCACACGGGCCGGCGAGCCGCTGACCCTGGCTCCTCCAGCCAGCTGGGCTTGTAAGGAAAGGGGACCCTCGCCCTTCCAGCCACTCGGTAACTAAAGCAATGCACCTTGCACAGCCGCGCCCGGGTTTTGCTGGGACGGATACTAGTGTCACCGCACGCATGCAATTACCTGCAGGATCAATGCTCCAAACAGCAAGGGCAGGGAATACAAATACGCATCTCCCCCCGCCGCCGGAGCCTACCGGCCGCCGCCGAATTAGAGGGGAGCGATGGGAAGAGCGCTCTACGACGGGAATACAGGACCGCGCCGCGGCCGAACAGCCGCCGTAGGGCCTCACCGCGCAGCGTTCTTTTGACTGCGCAGGAGCCGTTTTGCCCCGGCATGTTCTCGCTGCTGTATTTTGAGGCACGACTGAAGGCAGAGGACGAGGGAGAGGTCTCGCTGGACGCCACAGGCCCCTCCACGCTTTAATACTCGTATCGGCCTCAGGGGAGCGAGTTCCACGCCGCACACATGGAAACGGCAAAAGTTCGCTTCCTCCCTCAAAAGACGAATTTTGTTAAATTACGTCGAAAGAACAACTCGCTGCAAGAAGCAGTTATCCTTTGACTTCAGCAGACGGACCCTCGGGAAGCAGTTTTTACTCGCTGTGTGTAATCAGTGGGCGCTATTAATGTCCAGAGGCAGGAAGAAAAGAACTCGATGCAATTACGCTGTGGGAGCCTCGTAATCATTTACAGGTCATCACCTCGAAAACTCTCCTCCTAACGAATCGAACCCTTACGTCACGCGCACGCCGGGAAATTCGCTTCACATCTTAAAGAACGCGGCAGTCGGGAATTTGGACAAAGCCCTTGGCGTTTCTATTTTTCCGTAACTACCGAGCGCCCATCAGGTTCGAAAGTAGGCCGGAGGAGCGCAGAGCCGGAGCCAAGGCAGGACCGGGGGACACGAGCCGGGGGACGGCAGCCCGCGGGACGCCAAGCGGGGTCCCCTTCAGGAACGACCGAGGTCTGCTTTCGAACCACACAGGCGCTACGGAGCAGGAGGCAAAGGAAAGCAGGACAAATTCTGAAGCGCCGATCGACGATTCGCCCAACGACGCGGAGGGACGCGGCTGAGGGCCGGGAGAAGCCCTCAGCTGATTGCCCGGAGACGGGCAGGGAGGCGGTCCCGCTCCCAGGTTTGCCGCGAGAAAGGCAAAAATGCACGGTTTTACGCAGCTTGCAAAGAGTATGTCCGGGGATGTTATTCCTACTCTAGTTTTCCCCTCTCATCTTGCGTTGTCTCCATCTCTCTTCCTTTTTGACGTACTTTTATTACGTGACGTGCCTTGGGAAGAAACGCTTGACAAAAAGTTTGCGTCATTGGGAAAGAAAGAGGCGGACAAATCGCCGGGCGCCTCTCCGCGCCTGATGGCATGGAGTTGAAGCCTCGGCATGTTTTTCTGCCCCCTTGGCATAAATTTTGTTTCTCCAGATTACGGAACTTTGAACAGCAACAGGAGAAGTTGTCGTCGAGCAGAACAACGCCCAC